TATTACTCTAGTTAAGTCCTTCTCTGGGACTGTCATTCTGTATGTTTGCTCTGTGCATTTGGGACTATATGTATTGTTCTGTATCTTGATGTTTGCATTATGTTCTCAGAAATTTCAACATTGTGGCAGGTTTCTCTGCTACAGTGTTTACTGCCAGGATAATCTGTTGTGGCTGAAAATCCTGGAATGAAATGACCATCTATTTACATCAGTGAGAAAGTTGCCATAGTCTTCATCAAGACTAGAATTTCATATTCATCTCCTCTGAAGAAGAAATATTGGTTGCAGCTGAAAGAAAAAAAAAGAAAAGAAAAAAAAAGAAAAAAGAAAAAAAAAAGCACAACTAATATGAAAGGTAGTATTGGATGAAATCAATGGTTCATGTAGCCTTGTATTCTGTTTTCACAGCAGACAGATACAAAATTCAGTACAGGGATGCTTTTTGCTCATTTTCCAGATTCCAATTATCTCCAGTTCAGGGGATTCCTAGGCTATACATTTTTCTGTGTGTATACGTAGTGTCAGTAAAGCTTCTGTGAAATTGTCCAGTCTCCCTCTGTGCCTATGATAAATTCAAGCCCTTTGAATTCATGCTAAAGGAGCCACAACATCCTGAACAATGATGTTCAAAGGTCTTCAACCAGACATGTGAAGAGTCACTTCCTTCTTCCTCCTCTCTGATTAGAACATCGTTCTCATAATTTTCATTCAGGCTTCCTACTTCCTATATAAAGAGACAGAGAAGAGTCCCCATCTTATTTCTCCAAGCCTGCTGCAATTTTGTGGCTTTCACCCCTACCTTCTCTATTCTAGTCAGAAGATTCCCAGTTTACATCACTGTTCCTTGCACAGGAGTCATTTCACAGCTTTGATTCTTATTTGCCTTCTCTGAATTCCATCAGGACAAACTCTGATCTTCCCACTGAGTGTTAATGCCAGTTTGGAGCCCATTATGTGAAGTTCATAAAGCTTTTTTCTATGTTCATCAATTTATCTGCACCTAATTCTTCTATCTGACATTCTGTGACTGAATGACTTCTTTTTTCTTTCTGCCTTTCCTCACAATTAGCTAGCACTTCAGTATGAACTCTCACGAATACCTCTCCAGTCTTGGTGCCCATGTTGTTCATGCCCTTTTCCAGGTGATAAGAATAAGAGACCCAGGTATCATAATGTTGGGCATGCATAAAGGACACAGCTTGGGTTGGCTCTCAGTTTTAACGTACATCACAAGGCAAATTGCAAGATTTCTCCTAGTAATTCCATGCATTTTACTTTATTTGCCTGTCACCACCATGTAGGCAAACATGACATTATGTAAATGGTATATCTTATAAAGAGGAGAATTACATATAAGGTATAAAAAAAGAAAACCTGAAAGGACTGGGGTGGTTGTGTATAGAGAAGACAAGAGTGAGAAAACTTAATGGTCTTATAGCATGTTAAAGACTGCAACAAAGAAGAAGACAGCAAACTGTTGTTCAAGTCCATTGAGGATAGGACAGGGAGTAATGAGCTTAAATTGCTGCAGAGGAGAAAATGCTTTATCATTCAGGATAATTAAACACTGGAAGAGGCTGCCTGGAAAACCGTGGACTTTACTTCACTGGAGGTTTTTCAAAAAACTTAGACAAGTATCTGCTAGGAAAAAGCAGAGCTGTATTTTTCACATCAGCTTAGGGTCTCAGATGGAACAGGGTTAAACAAGCAGGCTTCCTAGTGATGAAATATGGCAGAAGTGTTCAAATTTCCTTGCTTAGCAAGAGGACTTAGGCCCTTAGTAAACATTATCTGTTTTTTGGAGCTGCTGAGCTCCTTCAAATTTCACTAGCTAATAGACAACATGTAGGTGTTCCCAGTCTTTGGCACCCCAGACTTGCTCCACTGACTCCAGGTCTACCTAAACCTGATTCTACCATCAGCTACACAGAAATCATTTTTCTCTACACAGTCAGAGCCAGGAGTCAGACTCAATGATCTTTGTGGGTCCCTTCCAACTCAGGTTATTCTGTGATTCTATGAAACAGGCAACTCACATTACCTGTGAGACAGACACAGGAGAATTTTAGCCTTTGGCTAATGTGGTGTTTTGGGTTGGCTAAAAAAAGAGTATTTTCCAAAGTTTTGTTCCCAAGACAGAATGGGTTTGTAGTGAGTCTTTGTGTCTCTTCCTTTGTTTTGGAGAGATGTGTTTGTTACTTTTTTATCCTGTCTGAAATGCAGAATATAAAGTCCCTTAAGAAGAGAAGGTAGCTTTCTTTTTTATTAATCACTACTGTCTGTGGTGTGGGGAAGCAGATAGCAAGGATATATCTGCCTTTGTGGGTGTATTACATAAATAATGCTAAATGGAAAACATGCTGATTGTGCTGAATGCTAACTAAACATGGATTGAAAATCTCTATGCCTCCAAAACACTTGTCAGTACAAAGGCAGGAAAATAGAATTACTTCTGCTCTGAATATCCCAGATAAATGCAGACACTCACCGGGATATCTGTATGTTTATGTGATAATGAAGAGTAAAAAAATACCTGTAAATTTTAGACATTGCCATAAACAAAATGCAGCAGAGTATCTCTGCACTGCACACAGGGTACCACAAGACGCAGTGAATTCCACTCAGAGATTAGGATTCAGTGTAAAGAAGTAAATGGCTGAATGTTTGTAATAGCTGCATTTGAACACCTGCAGTTTCTGGGAAGGGGCAAAATCTTTTAGATGAGGGGTTTAGATGAGAGAAAAAATAAATAAATAAATAAATAAATGAAGTGTAATCAGAAGCAAAGCCAAAGCTCCAGGCTGTTGAAGCTGGAACAGTGCCGCTGGAATCATTTAAGCTCTGACAACCTGCAAAAGCAGAGATGCTGGTCTAGAATATTCTCAGAACACAAACCTTTTGTATTGTGCTGTCTCCATTATCAATGCAGAAATTGTTCACAGAGTCAGAAAAGATATTAGCTCTGAAAGAGACACACTACTAGCACTTTGGGAAGACTTCATGCCCTACAACTCTTAAGAATCAAGCAGGATGTTTCTGAATCAGGACTTTTTTTTGCTAAATCTGTCTTCACTCAAAGGAAGCACTATAAAATTAAAACTTCTGACAGGTATGTATGACAGTCTGCAACATTCCTCTGCACCGGCTAGGAAACTGGATGGTCCTATCTCTGTGATACAACTAAAGTATGAGGAATGAAACCTAATTCCCAGTTCATCTGTCGGTAGAGTAGGAAAGGTCAAAACTCTTGCTGAAAATGAACATTGCATGGATACAGGTATGCAAATGAAAGTCTACCCTTTGGAAAGAATGGATAATCCTTTAGTTGACTTCAAGCATTAAACTGAAATGCTATCTAGATTTTTTTTTCTCTTCACTAAAGCTAGAAACTCTAAATCTGATAGAAGGCAGGATCCCTGACAAGATTTCAATCTTGTAATTGTGTTGACATGATATGTTCAGATTGCTAAAAGCATTTCATTTTATGCCATATAACAGCTTGATTTAAAAAATTTAGCACTACCTAAAAATTAATGTTGTCTTTATCAGACAGATTGAAAACATTCAAATTATGGTTAATGGAGTCACCAGCACATAAGGATGCTTACAGGAGAAAGCCAAAAAAATGGAGTCCTGGACAATGTTGTTACACATTGCAAATTGTTACAAATGGAAAATCAGTACTAAGTTTGAAAATGGCAGAGTTTATTAGACACCAAGCCAAAGCAATTAACATTATAAACAATCGTTTCATTAGTGATGCAGAGATGGTTTTGCTTTTAATGATAAAAAATAAAAAATAAAAAAAGTGCTCCTACTCTGAAAGACCATAAAGGACCTTTGTGAAATCCATTTCTAACTTTCTGCATAAGGTAGACTATCAAACTTACCTCGATGTAATCATGCCTAAAGCAGAGCCTTTCAGAAAATCTCCATTCTTTACTTATGATTGGAATTAGGCTCAAACATGCAGGCTTCAGGCCTGTCAGTGTTATTTGCCTGCTTGACAGAGGAGTCCTGGCTACAGTCAACAGTGTTTGAGTAGACATGATAGATTAAGTACAATAGTGCATAGCAGCCACTGTGACTCACAGAATAGGAGTCCTTTCCTCTCTTGCTGCCTTCTACAAAACAAAATAAAATGGTAGTGGGTGAATTTTGCGCTGTGCAGCTATAGCACATTTCTTCTTGAGAGGATGGAGTCACATTAGAGAAAACATCCCCTTCTTTGCCTTCTCCTGATGCCAGAACTCAGCACACATTGCCAGGGAGTGCAGAGGTCTCTCATGGTAAGAAGTGGCTTTGGTATACACATAGGCTTACTCTTTTCTTTGTTTTGTTTTGTTTTTTATAAGCAGAAGAACTAAAGGATTGAGTATATTAGTCAAAATAGGTCTACTCTTAATAGAGTAGCATGCAGCAAAAACAGCGTAAGCTTCTTAACCACTCTAAACTACATGAATACTTACTCTAAAAGTACTGTGTAATCCACTAAAATCCAAAATCTTTATACTCATCTCAAAAAAGAAATATACTGTCATAATCTATCCTTTTAGATAAAGAAATAACAAATAACTGATAATTAAATGCATTAACAGTATAACGATGTTCACTGGGAATTTATTGAGTGAATCTCAAGATGGCAAAAAGAGTATACACCCGCTAGAGGTTCAAAAGCCTAAGAGAAAGAGTAAACAGAATTACATTAATAACTACTGACAGGAGTGGAGAATTTTATATTGCACAGAGATTTTCTAATTTGTTAACTCTGCCTAGTAGAATTGACAAAAATTACATTACTAGACAGCATGACCTCACGAAATATCTGTCTCTGTTGCTTTGAACCTTATGCATTTGACAATTGAATTCTACCTAAGGACAACAAAAGGGCTATTTATTTAAAACTCAAATATATGTATATATATATTTTTTTTACCTTTGTCATATCAAGTCAGTAGAAATAAATTACATCTTTATAAACTATCATATTGGGATATTTATTAATGGACAGAGGCATTCCTCATTTTTCTTTTTGAATTGGTTAAAAGCAACTATAACAATGTATGTGTTTCAAGCATTAAGGTTCATTTCTGTGAATTACATTTAACACTTAAATGATAATAAACCCTTTCATTACACACAGAACAGCATTTTTGATCTAATGTGCTATTGCTGTGACTTTTCTCTTCTGAAATCTCTAAATATTCCCAGAGGTCAAATTATTTGGTGTAAATTGGCACATTTGTTTTTGTGTTGATCTTCAGTAAAACCTGTTATCTAAAAGAGAATACAGTCTAAAACCTTATGAAGAGTTAAAATATATCTGAGGCCTCATTTATTGGTTGGTTGAATAGTAATAATATAAATTATAATGATTGTTCCCTTTCTGGAATTCTGATGTACTTAGAATTGTATAGGTTGGTTTCCAAAGCCCTTATGAATTTAATAGGCCCCATTTCTGTGAGTTGTAAACTTCTGCCTGAGCTGGTTTTTGGCACATTGTTCTGAAAGGGCAACAGTTTGGCTAGGACACAATACAATAAATGGGAAAATATATGACTTACCAGGAGGGCAATTGCTCATAACAGATTAATGGATTCACTTAATATTTCTGTAAAGTCAACATCTCTTACTGCATACAAAGTGTCAGCAACCTATTTTTGCCACACTGGACACAGGCTCTGAAACCTGCTATGGAAGCAAGTTCAGCCTGACTGCTGAAACTTCTGTTGTACGAGCAAGGAATATTAACACACATACTTGAATCTTTCCCCAGGGGTCTAGTTTTAGACACAGAAAGATACAACAGAAGACAGCACAATGTGCCATGAAATGCTTGCAATAGCCCAATTGATCAGTAGCTTACATAGCTATCTGACACTATACTGAAACCTTTAGGATTTTTTTTTATATGTGTTGTTTCATAAATCTGCCAAATAGTCTTTTTAAAGAACATCTGACAGTCATAGACCCAACAAGGAAGCAAAATGATTGCAGGTTTGTTCCAGTCAAGGGGCTGAAAATTGTGGTTTTGAAGCATCACTGGAAAAGCAATCCATTCACATATCTCATTTTCAACACTGTTGAATCCTCTTTAAAAAGTCAATATAGTGTTTTAAAAGCTGTCTGTGTAGCATTTTCACCTTCCTGAAGAAACCCTGTTGTTTCATGATATCAGTACATCTTCTGGTCCTCCTCTCCAATTTGAGGCTGGTCACTTACCTAGAAAGAAGAGAGCTTCTAGTTGGATTTGCTACGCGTGATTAAAAAACACCCTTCTCTTAAAAATGCTGATGATGCCCTTCAAACCTTTCATGGGTATTTTGATATATAAATACCAAAATCCTGTGGCACACAGAGAACAATCATGTATGTTGGTATGAGGACCTCTCCGACATGATGTCACTTACTACTAAACAGCCTTCTCTGAAGTAAACCGAAGTGAGCACAAACTCTGCAAGGAACTAAAAAAATAATAATTTATTTAAAATAAGATTTGTTTGATAGGTTTAAATCAAATTCCTTATTCCAGCATCTCCTGTAATAATGTAAGTGTTCATACTGGCATGTTTTCTCTAGCAACATTGATGCTGAAGTAAGGGCATTGAAATGTGTTACTTTTGTATAAGAGATAGTTGCTGTAAAGAGGTATTCACATAAAACAGGTGGGAGAAGAAACAGGGAAGCACTTATATTTGTTGTATACTAACATACAAGTAGTTGCAAAAGGCTGTAAACAGCTTGAAGCTATTAAAGCAATCTTGAAATTGGAGCTTCCAAATCACATTATGTTTGTGCTTATCAGTTTGAAGTTATTTAGGGCAATCTTGATGATACTAGTCCTTTTGGAGATGTCCATTGAAAGGAGAAACCAAGCAAAATTATTTAACTTTAAAACTGACCAGATGGACCACTGAGTACACCTGTTCTGAAGGCACATGAAGAAAACACATATGATAGGCAGCACAGATATAGGATTTGGGGTATCTGGGTATTTTCCCAGCTTGGAGGGAATGAGACAAGATTCTGGGCATGAGCTCTCCCTTGAAACAGCCTTCAGGCAAACAGGCTACAATTCCCCACGTTCAGAACATTCAACTGACAACGTTTATAAAAAGCTTTGAGATTTTTAAACAACAGACGAAATTTAAATGCAGCACAGGGGCTAACCATCTTTTATGCTTTTTTGTTGAGGATCCACAAGTGAGTACCCCTGAGTTATTATTCACCAAACATTACAAAAAGAATTAAGTATTAGCCCATTTTTAAAGATGAGGAAAAGACAAACATTAGGCTTTATATATATATTTCACCAATACAGGTGTATAATGAAATTAATAGGAAGACAATACCTTTCATATATATAGGATAGTTCTTTATCAATTGTATTATGCAAGCACAGATTCAGATGAAATCAAAGTGGAAACAAAACATTTAGTCCTGGATTTCTGTCCCATAATTGGAGAGGTGGGGTGCAGGGGGGGCAGGGAAGAATCCTCAAATTAGCCAGATGAAATTAGTTACAATTCATTTTGTAAAATATGCAAATGAAAATTTACTTTTCTTTCGTATCTGAGACTGAAAAAAAAAAAAAAAAAAAAGTATTGATTTATATTTTTATTGCTACACATAACCAATCCATCAGGGTTACTATACTTGCATTTTATTTTTAATTTTATCTTCATCTGCTTATGCTTTTCCTTTTGTTCCTTAGCCTTCTCTGGCTTAGATTATTTTTTTTTACTTTACTGAAAGGAGCTTGGCTTTTGAAAAGAGGACATTTTCAGATGTACCCATCATCTGGCATAGTTAAGACCCTAAATCCACAGCTGGAACATTTCCAGCTGGCCAAGTAGTTGAAACTAAATAGTGTATCCTCTTATCACAGAAATGTAAAACTATGTGATATTGAAATAGGACAAGACTAGTATCAATGTAACACAATTATCTGTATAACCCAATATCATTTTGTCCAAAGAAGCATGGAGATTCCTTATGGACACTGTACATATTTTTGTGAACTACTTGACTAAATAAACTGCACTGTTTGCCATGACAATCCATTGAAGCTACACTTTCTGATTTTTCCACTGAGGTTGATTGAGAAGTGTGAAAAACCGACATTTGTTCCCAGACTTGCGCAGCTGTGGGACAATAACACATCTGAAAACTGGAGGAAAAACAAATTCAGAACTAGCATAGCCCTGGAGATTTCAAAAACATTGCCCATCATCGCAGTCAGAGCCCCTTCTTAGACAGGCACTATTACCAAATTGAGTATATACTGATGCGAATCATTCCATGAAACTACTTGCAAGACATGAACCATCACATGTGGCTATAAAATCTGCAACTGCAATTTATGTTGAAGAGTTCTTTGATTGTAATTAAACTCTAATTCCAAGACAGGAAAAGCGAATTGTCATGTTCTCCACATGGTATTTCATTTTCAGATGCTGTTCCTTCACCTTTTTCATCTGGAGGCATGACTCTGGAGTACAAATTATCAAAAGTGAGCTATAATTTTGGATCTGGCAAAATAAATAAATAAATATGGGTGACTCATAGACACTATGCATCTGTTATCATAACCCTAAACACATGATTATCTGGTTGATTGAAGTCACAGTTTCTACATGAAAAAAGATGCAGTTTCTGCTTTGAAGAACACTTTAGCTTCGATAAATAATCACAGGCATTCTTTTGCAGCTTATGACTACAATCAAGGTAAAGTATAAAGTACTTGGTAAGTGTCAGGTGTCTTTTGAAGAAAAAAAGATTATATGGGCTTGAAATTTAAGACCCAAAAATTACAAAATAAGGTATGGAATAGATGTAATCTTTCAGTAAAACACTGTATATGGTGTAAAACAAGTAATACAGACTTAAAATCAAGAGTTAGGGATTCAGGCAAAAATTCTAAGTAAGGAATTGGAGAACGCCAAGTGCTGACAGTGAAGGCAGCTCTCTACTTTTTGGAATTTTTAAAGAATCAGTCCTGAGACTGATGTCAGACAATGTTTTCATAAATTATATCAACCAAAAGAAAAATATGGCAATGAAGTTTCCTAATGAAGTTTGGACACTATACTGAAGAGAATCGGTACATCATGTGAGAACAGCATGACCTTTAGGAAATAAGCAATAAAAATTGGTCAAAATACAAATTTAATTCTAAAAATAGAGAGAGATTCTGATTTTCTGAACAATGACAAAAGTTTCCAAAATTTTCTGAGCTGCAGACAATATAAAAAGAGAATAATAAGTTTGAAACTAGTTGGTTTATATATATACATATATATGTGATAGAAGAAAAAACTTTTTAATACTCTAGTAATTATTGGGTGAATTGCTCCACAATCAGCAATCTGTGACGGACTCCCTGTATCTCCTTTGGGACTGCATCAATGAAAAGCCTGAGATGCCTCCTTCCTAAATTTGGCCCCTCAAAACTCACATTCAGCTTCCACTCAACCCTGAGGGTGCCTAAAATGGCCAGGACTCCATCCACATACCCACCCCAGGTCTTAGCCCTACTAAGCTCACAAGGCAGCATAGCCCCCTGCCCCACTTGCAGTACGGCCGAGACTCCCAAATAAAACCAGTCAAATCACAAAACTGAGCCAGAGAAGGGTGCACTCTCTCATCCTGTTTGCTCACTGCTCTGTCAGTACTCACCTAAGCTCTAAGTAATCTGTCTTCCCTTCCTAATTCTGCAGGAAGATACCCTACGGCACTGCTCATTTACAATTTATTTCAAAAAAGAAGGGCTTCCTTGGGTCTTCTTACTAAACCTAGGCTTTTGAAGGAATAATTGAAAATTTAGAAAAAGGAGCCCTTACCTCAACACATGCTCTCAGTATTTTCAATTAGGTATTCAATGACTGAGTCTAGCACTGACCTTTCTCAGGGAAATACCATTGCTTGGAGGCTATAAAATCATTCTCACACTTATTTGCCATGGTCTAGAAAGCATTTCATTATTTTAAATACAGTGGAAGTGCAACAGGAGGAATTGAGAGCTGTGCCCTGTATTCAGGCTGGGACACCTCTGCAAAGCAAACATTTCTGTTCTCCTTGCAAACTGCAATTTCTAATGGGCTACAGCTGAAGGGAAACTTTCCAGCACAAAGCTAGCTGCAGCAAAGCCACACTATTCTCTGTACAGACTGCCAATGGCTCCAGTTGACTGGGCCATAGGTAAATGTTCCTTAATTTCCTGCCACTGCTAGCAACCTAAACACCTCATAGGTAATGTCAGACTTCACTGTGCAGCTGCATTACTTATGGAAATCACACTTTCCACCAGAAATTTTTGGCTGGCAAAAGAAGTAAACTTAATTCTGATTTGATACATTCCCTGAAGGATTTGTGGTTGTTATTTTTTGTTCCAGTTGCTTCCTTGTTCAGCACAAGTGCAGTGAATAGGCACCAAGCTGCCAAAAAACCTTCAACACCTTCAGTAATTGAGTGCTATCTCTTAGGCACCTCAGTACCAGTCACCTTGGGATTAATATTTACTCCACAACAAAGTAGCTGAACTTTAATTCCCTTTTTCATGTGAATAAAGCCCCTGAGTCAATGATTAAATCAACCTGTTTTTCAAACACTCAGGAGCTGTGAAGCACGTGTTTTGTAACAGCAGCCAACCAAACTATGCGAAGCTTTCATTTTTGGTTAAAGCCTCTGCAATGTACTTTTTTTCCTTAGGGGAGACTGAATTGCTAACAAAGTTAAAGAAACTTTTCTATCTTTACTTGCCAGTATCAAACAATATTTTCTTCAGTTTAGAAACAATTGCAGCTGTGACCAATTTGGCAAATCTGATGAATACCCTGTGCATGTCTCCTAGCTGAGAGCTAATTGATCATTTCCTTCATCCCTAATAAAATACATCTATTTAAATATAACTAACTAAATAAATAGTTCCAGCATTGCAAACTTAATGATAAATTTTTCTGTACTTTGGGTAGATCCATGATAAGGCATATTCTTGCCAAATAATACATCACTCGATGTGTCTTTGTACTTCACAAGGATCTGTACATGACAAAACTGGAACATGAAATGCATGAAGAGTTATTTGTATGTAATTGTAATCATATTCTACAATGAATATTTCCTGCTTAAGATGATCCAAAAGTCCATCCTTTTCTGTACTCCTTTAAGAAAGACATTTTTTAACCAGGAATTTGTAAAAGGAGGTGTTCAGAAACTGCTATATTCACAATACAAAATTAGAGAGAAATTTTATTCATATTCACATGTATTATATTCACAATACAAAATTCCTGTAATTCATAGAAAAGGTATAGTAAGTTCTACTGATTACCTCATTCAAGGAATTTCACCACCGTTTTTGGATTTTCATTTTTCATGCATGTTCTGAAACAGTTCTTTGCAAAATCCTAGTATATAAAACAGTTGAAGAATTAGTTCCTTTCATGAGGGAAAAAATAAAAAATAAAACAAATAAACAAAAAACACTTTGTGTTTCCCTAATGTTATGTTTACTTACTTGGTAAATTTCTATTACAGAGAAATCTTTCTGGAGGCAAAATAAAGAGCAGTAAGAGAGTTCAGCCAATTAATTGGCTTTATTAGTCTGGACATCATTCAGCACCTTGTAGGGTTTTTTTGTTTGTTTACAGGGAATACACAAAGTATCTTACCGTGTACCTGCTTCTCCATGGTCCCAAACTAATTGGGCCAATGTCTCACAAATTGCCTAATTGGCTGAACATTCCTAGCCTTCTGATTTTAATCAGGGACACATGGTGCATATCAATAGCCTGCTTCATTACGCCTGAAGAAGATCCAGGCTACTGTCCATTTTCAATTAAATTGCATTTTAAAAGAAAAGCAACTTGACCTTTTGGAATACTGCATAATAGGTTTAAAAACTTAAGCTGCTTTTCCTCCTTTTTTTTTTTTTTTTTGGCTTTCCTGGTATAACTAACAAATAGAAATAAGCACCCCTTATTGCAGTATATCAACACGGAGCAGCCTTTCACACAGCAGTGGATTTGCTGCATCATTTTGTGATGATAATAACACCTGGAAAAAAAAATCAATTGCATAAGAGTATACAGAGTTGTGTCTCTCTAAAGCCTCAGAGTAACCTGTTAGTATTTATTTTATGGATGGACCTAGAAGCTACAAAGAGCAGGCCTGACCAAATCACGTCAGAGGGCTCCAATCCCAGAAGTTTCATCCTTTAAACAGACAACTGTGGGTAAGAGAAAAACTTTGGAAAGGCATTGATAAAGGTATATAGTAGGTCTGTCACAGAGCTGGCAACAGAACATGCCTCCTTTCTATGATGCCAATTCAAATGGTCAAATTAATTTATTTCTCTTTAATTGTGTCTCATATTGAAGCATCCATTATTCCAAGATTCTTGTGATATCCCTGCCAGGCTCTGAGGCAGCCCAGAGCTGCCTTGTTCAGCCCCGAGCAGAGCAGTCCGAGGGGAGGCCTCATGGCAGCCTGCAGCTCCCTCACAGGGGAGCAGAGGGGCAGGTGCTGAGCTCTGCTCTCTGGGGACAGCAACAGGACCTGAGAGAACGGCATGGAGCTGGGACAGGGAAGGGTCAGGCTGGGGGTTAGGGAAAGGTTCTGCACCCAGAGGGTGGTCAGGCACTGGGACAGGCTCCTCAGGGCAGTGGTCACAGCACTGAGCCTGCTGGAGTTCCAAAAGCATTTGGACAGATGCATGCTCTGATTTTTCAGGTGGTGCTTTGGGGACCCAGGAGTTGGACTTGATGATCCTCATGGGTCCCTTCCAACTCAGATATTCTATGATTCTGTGATAACTTTCCTCCACTTCAGATTTCAGGGGTTCTTTTCATCTATGATTCTGTGATCTATCTGAGGTGACAGCAGTTGTCAGCCTGTACAGTTCCATGTGTGATCCAAAACAAGAACCAAACTAAGAGCTATACATTAGGTAGCCAAAGGCATCACCACTCTGGAACTTTTAGCGACTACATAAGATTTAAAAAGGATCCTGTTAAATAATGAATAGAAAACTTGAGAAGTTTTTACTGTTAAATATCAGCAGTTCTGGGAAAGCTGGAAGCAAAAGAAAAATCGCATCCCTCCAGTATGCAATGGCAGTGTTGTTGGAAACCTCTCTGCTCTCTTAAGCTGTTGGATTGTGTTGAACAGCTAACTGATTAGAGCACACTCTTCTCTGTAACATTAACAATCTGTAATTCATGTGCCCCAGGGTTTAGGAATAATATTTTTCTTCATATTGAATGTCACAATGGTTTGTGTGAGTGAAATGTGACTGTGCTTTCTAAAGCTCGGGAACAGTCCCACACATACTGTGCTTTTCCATCATCAAATGACATGAAAGCATAATACAAAAACAAACACAACAATAAAACTGAAAAATATATATATATATTCACTAAGAACAATAGCAGTACTAAAGGGTACACAGCATCCCTCCAGATTGAGGTCAGAGGAAATTTTAGTTCGTGTAATTGATTATTATACACTTTCAATGTCCTTGACCTACATCAACACAACTATCCTCTAATGTACAACTGTAAACAAGAACCTACACACTCCCACCTAGGAATTCATCTGGCAAAGACAAGAAAGCTACTCTTAACTCATGTTTGAATCATTTTTTTCTTTATTGGCAGATTCTCCAATGAAAGTCAATGCATTCTCTTCGGAAGTACATTTTCTTCAAACAGTCGTGTGTCCCTTCTCCCCCCCCATATAGCCAAAGGTCTCAAAAAAAAAAGGGAGGTGAGAAATTAAACTTCTCAGAAAAGAAATGTACAATATGGACACTATGGAACTATGGAATATTTATAGAGGCTCCTCCAGGTTCTTTAAATATTCTAACTTGGATGCTTGGAAGGAAGTACCATTCTATTTTCACTGACGACAGAGGGAGACTTGGACTGTCTTGGCTAAAGTTAGGCTCTGTGAATTCTGCCACCTCTCACACTTCTGTCCTACATATATGTCCTACTTCATAACATAGACCCCCAAACACCAGAGTATAAAGTTAGGTGAGGTTTTTCCAAGCTTACACCAAAAATGTTTGTGGATAGTTCAACTAGACTGCTAAAGGCATCAGGATCTAGGAGCAACGAGACAAACTATTCTTTGTTGTTCTCAGGTGCTCTCTCTCCTGAGCAACCAACCAGACACATCTAGATCCCATAGCAGCTAGCTGACACTAATTACATCCAGGCTAGACAGAAGACACAATTTTGAAGTGAAGCTAATTAGGCATTCCAAAGACTTACCAGATAATATAGTGAGTTTGTTGTCACTGAGTCTTGAAGCAAAATGTAGTGTCTTTCTAAAGACACATCCTTCATCTCAAGAAATATTGATGCTCAGATTACGGAGTTCAGTTCTTTGGTCTGGTTTGTACAAGAGGTCAGATGAGCCCATCTTAATGATCTCTTTTAGCCTCTAAATCAGTAAATATTTCCATAATGAGCCAGAAAAATAAGTTGATAATATTAAAGCAAAAGAGTAAAAAGAATGAAAGAAGTTGGTTTTGCCTATTAACATTCAGAAGTGGGATAGAAATCAGCCTTTGAAGTAATATTAATCGTGAATTATTTAAAAAGCAGAAGAAAATGATAACACTAATTAAGAAGAAAAGTACTACCAATGCTTAGCCACTTTCTTCATCCCCATGGAGGTCAATATTATCCGTGGTTTTCGTCGCTTTGATTGATTCATACTAAAGTTCACAAAGTATCTTGCTTTCTTCATGAGGTTATCCCACACCTTAACAGATTTTGTTATAAAGGCAATTTCTCTGACATTCAGCTGACACTTGACTCCTCCAAGAGTCAATATGTGTAGATCTGTCTAGGAATACAATGTATGCATAGAAGAGAGTAGACAAAATCTCAGAAAAACAAAAACCATCTTGTACAAGACCATTTTCACACAGTTTGATTGTTAGAAAACTGACACTCAATGACTCAAAGAAGCGCTAATCTAATTCATCTTCAATATTTAAGGATAAGTTTTTAAAGTAATGTAGGGGACTTTGAATACAGTGATTCAAGTAGATAAAGGGACTATGAAGGTAACTGAGAAAGGGATTTACCCAAGTACATACAAAAATGCCACCACTGACTTGGGTGACTGTCTCCAGCTGTTTTATATTCACCATATATACAAAATAAGTGACATGTTAAAAGAATAAAAGGAGTCATATCTAAGTGTCTCAACTGCAAAATGTAGATTCTCCCCACCTAAGCCCCCCAACGCCCACCCCTCCAAAAAAAAAAAAAAAAAAAAAAAACACACACAAAAAAACACCTCTTACTCAACAGGTAAAACTTAATTTCATCACCTCATGGCCTGCTTCATCACTGCCTGCCTTTTGTCAGAAGGAGAGTGGTCGTTGTTCTCCAGAAGGAATTCCACTCTTTTTCTTTCCACTCTTTTTCTCAGCACTTGACAATACCAGCTTCCAAAATGATTTCAACAGTTTGGAAGATGATAATTGCCAAATTGGGTTACAAGCGTTGCAAAGAACTTACAATTTTTATTGGGTTCCTTACCCATTTGCCAATGCAAATGTATTAAAAATGTCAGTTTTGCTTCAGTTCCTGTTAGACAAGATTAAAAAATAAAAGCAATAAAATTTATTCTAGCAAAACAAAAGACAGTGCTCCAGATTATGAAACAAAAAACACTCTTAAATTAAAAATATCACAAAAAATAAATTTGCATTTAAGATGTACCTTACACAACTGTTCCTTCTTTCCTTAAAACGTTCAGAGGAAACATAGCAACTTTTAAAGAGAAGGTAAGGACAAGGGTCTCCACTTTTGCAGGTATGTCAGGCATACTGTGCAAACTGAAAAACATCACTCAGAAGAACTGTCCTTCCAAACGGGACCTCGTTGAGCCTTTATTCAGAAACAGAAGCTAAAAGGGTAGCAGATCATTCATTCCGTGAAACATTTTCATTTCCAGTTGACCTAAAAGGTTAGCTTGGAAGCTGGCAATCTATTCTTCATAAATATGCTTTTCTAACTTTTAATATGATTTCAGCTTTTCTTGAAGACCTTTCCTGACATACTAATAACATAGATGAGAGATTTTGCCCTGAGAAGCCTTCTTGTTCTTTTCTATTAGTTTGGGAGTTTGACTGTCTCCAAACTCAGGAGAAACACAGCCAAACTCTACAAATTATGTTCATGTTAATGTTTAAGTATTTGAAGTAATGCATGGTACTTCAGTAAATTATGAAGTGCCCAAAGGTACTCACGGAAATATCTCATTTCTGTGACAAACATCATCCTCACACTAAACTCTCAGACAGTGTAAACCAAGTAATCCTCCCCCTTTAAAGGTTAAATCCACTAGTCTCAGAGCACACCTAACAGACTAATCTTCGTTGAAAACAAAGTGGCAGTTTCCATTCTCTCTCATAAGACCCAACAGTTATACCTCCTATTCACAGAAGGCATGTTCATCTCTCTCACCTGGCTCAAGGATTTAAAACCTGCAGCACTTGCTACTCTTGAGAATCTTCTAACTAATAAGCCTAGAGGGTTTTACAGGAAATATTTATCTGGCCAGCTATGAGAGTGCATGAACCTAAAAAGTTAGAGTCCTGTCTGGGTCCCAATACAGAAGAACATGCCCTCGGCCTCTGGGCAAAACAAAGAAATTTCAAACTTTCTTAAGCAAGGAAAGAAAACTGAGACCCATGCTTCTCAGCTAAATACTTCTACCAGTATTAGCAAGAGTCACACACTTACTGTGTTCAGTTGAAGTCTCTTTAGGGCATTTTAAAACAGCTGCAGGACAAAGGGTAAAGAACCATTCACCAGCACCATGAAGGGTTGCCATACTCACTATTGCATTGCCTGTGCCACCTCTTGGTCTGAGCGTGGTAGGAAGGAGAGCATAAACCAGTCACAATATAAACCAAGGAAAGGGAAGCAGCAGTTCCTTAAATCGTATTGCAGCTCTCAGTTTCTGCGCTGCAATTTGCTCTTCTGAAAAAGAAGATGAAATTCACAGCAGCGTTGGGAGCACTAGCTGGTCAACACTTATAAACATAGCTTAAGGCATAAATCCACTTTTTGATCAATATGACTTCAATGACTGTTAAACACGATCAATCCTATTCTCCCCTCAGGTACCTGTTTGCAAATTAGATTTTCAGTGAGTAAAGTATGTCAAATTTATTACAGAACAGTATTGCCCTCCTGTGGCCACAGACTATTCTGAAGAAATGAATCTTAAGAGATTCACTTCTCCTTTATTTATTTGCTTACTTCTTGCACATCACCCCAGAAACACTGGGCAATCTTTGTGAAAAGAACTCAGAACTGGGAGACTCACCTCTGAACCACTCCAAAATTTAGATCCAGAGCTGCGTTTGGCATGTTATGGCATAGCAGCTGAACAAAAAGAGTAAAAAGTAGGTATGATGCCAGTCCCTCTGTCTCTTTACATTTCTCCTGATGATGTTATTCATATAAAAAGTTATGATTATCTCTCATCTTTGGTGGTCATGTTTAATAGCAACATGCCTTTCTGTGCACAATCAATTATTCAGTCCTCTTCTACATTAGATTCATTTGCTTTTTTATTAATCCAAAGTAGAAGTATATCCTGCCCACTTTCAGACTAAGAAACAGCCCTTTAACCCTTCCCTGGGAGTAAACATTGGCCTTCCAGACTTTACCCCAAATCCATCTAAGCAAGCGGATTCCCTCTGACTTTAATGTTTTTGGATTAGGTCCCTAGAGTCACACATACACGCAAAGCCTGACGACAGAGACTAGAACACAGTGTAGACGCACACAAGTCAAGGAGTGACACAAGGCTCCCTACAGCAAAAGGAAGGAAAACCAGGCTACAGAATCAGTGTGCAGAGCAGAAGAGAACATCCCACCCATGAATACAAACAGCATTCTTAAATCCCCATAATTTAGGCAACCTGTACAATTTAACAAACAGAACTAGCATTTTCACAGGTAAAAAACATAGGAATTGAACTTCTTAAGTATTGGATCAGCCATATAGCTGGAGAGAAAATTGTTGCAACAAAGGACCTATATATATAAATGACAGGATGGATGTAGATTAAAGCAGTCTAAAATTTTCACTATTAAGTCCAAATGCTTCTTGAAAATCGAGTTACAGTTTATGTGAAGATTAATTGCATTTGATGTAGTCCATGGAATGTGCTTGACCTGATCTATTTTACCTGCCAATAGTCAGTTAATATGACTCAGCTTTTCTGTCCAGCTGTCAGGGCTGGAGAAAAGAAGGATAAGGATTTCTACCTTTCTTTTATGATTGCCAGCTATGAGGTATAAAAATTACTTACCTTTTCTTTCTCACAGATGGTATTTTTCTGACAGTCTCCTCACTGACATTGTCAGTGCTGCAACAAATGTAAAGAGATTATTAAAAATATATATGGCAATTTTATTTTAAACTTTAAACCATGACTATTCATGTCTGACCCTCATACCTCTTCTGTGGCATGGTACAGAAATAATCCCATGTGATCAAATGCTCCGATACAGCAAAATATGAGTCAAATCTTATCACTAATTCTAATTTTTAAAAGTATGTGGCAAAGACCTATATTCTGAAACTGATTTGGTGATATGGTGATAGGGAGGAAGTCCCTATGAACTTTAATAGGGGAAAATCAACTCCAAGAAGACAAGGAGTCAATCAAGTCTGTCTTCAATTTATACATGTATTTCAGTATTTCCTGCTCCATGATTCTTGTGTTCTCCACTGAAGTTGGAGACTCACTTGCAAATAATCCATACAACCAAGGAAAGCCCATAAATACATCTGAATTCAAAATTCCTCAAAAAAATAAAATAAAAGTATGTTTCTGGAAAACATACTACCAAAAACAGAGGACAAATAGGAACCCTGGGCCATGACCTAATTACTCTGCCTTGGCTGTAAATCATCTATCTACTGCAAGGTATTTAACAATGCACAATCTATAACACAATTTTGTTCCGATTAAAATAAAATCTACTTTCTTTTGGGATAAGTATTGACTGCAAATTTTCCTAGCTGCTCAATATTTATTTCTGATAAATGAACTTTAATGTTAATCTCAAGAGAAATGCTATCTGCTAGCATTATATTCCAGAAGAGTCTATAGTACATGATGGCAAAATAAGGATTATATACCCAGCTGGGTATATTTAGAGAGAGGGCAGGATAATGAATAACTCTTAGTCTCTTGGAAGTATATTAAATGGCCTTTACATATGCTTCCCTTCCAAAAACATTTTGTGCAGACCAAGCATGCAGAACGGCAGGCTGGAAGCAGAATGTTTGAAAAGGTTTTACTGAGGTCACAGTGAACATTGCCCACTTATTACACTTAATTCAGTGCAATAAATGCTTATAGATATGTGCCACTTAAGACAACACTAGATAAATTAGTTTTATTAGCATTTGGCTTAATTGGGCACATAACCAATGTCTTCTGAATGGAGGTATAAAAACAACAGCATTTTTCCAGCTCAGGCTCCACTGCTGTGTTACAACAAAGACGATTAGTGGCCACATCTTCCAGCAACATCCTCTAGCACAGATGGAAATAGACAGTCATTCAGATTTCATTCTGAGAACCCTGAAGTCTTCCTCCATTTGCTTTTGTGTACCTTCTTCCTAACCTTGTAGCAGTGAACAGGCACATTTTCCTTCTCACTCCCAAGTGAGATTTTCCTTCTCACTCCCAAGGACAGCACATTTGGATTGTTCACTTTACTTTTCTGTCTTTCCTGATCAGCTTTTATTTTTATTTTGGATGTTGTCTAGGAAAAAAAAAATAGAAATGATTAAGTGTCTCACATTTAGATTTCCATTTATTTATATTTTTGGCTGGTAAATATGTCATCTGTAGTGTTTAATATTAGTTATGCTACATTTAACACTATGCAGAACTATTCTTTTCATTTAACCACTTTTCCACCAAAAATAATTTTCTTGACAATTACACTGATTTCTCTGTTGTAGTCTATCTTGCAGAAGCAGGAGAATCCAACTGAAACAACAGGGTACAACAGCAAGATGCCTCCAGCTTGTGCAGGTTTGTCTGTCTTCCTTCCTGCTTTTTGACTCAGACTATAGCAAAGAAAGTCACTTTGTCATCCCTCTCATAGCTCACACTGATCAGTTATCTTGTATTTCTTCAGTACTTCTTGCTCTGTAGTGCAACCCTACCTGCACTCCTCCATAGCACGTCTCTACTTGGACTGCATATATATCAGGCCAGAAACAAGTCTTTTTCTCTGGCTCATACGTTATTTTCAGGCTGTCATAGCACTACAAACTAAAAAAAGATTAGAAGTGTTCTCATTCTTGGGACTGGTGTAATCTCAACTCCCTCTACAATTATTGTCCTCTTGTTTCATTCCGCCCAAGTAAATGTCCAGCCACTGCTACCTGGATATTATTCATTTGAATGCTTCATAGCCAATATGGATAACAAGACACCCTGAAATTGGTGTTTGGCTCATGAAATCCTTCTAACTGAACTGTCTTTTTTCCTTCCTTGCGGAATTTCTCTGATGCTTATTGTGAAGCACTAAGATCTCAAACATAGCAGGTGATGTAGAAATTTTTTTTAGCTCTAAAACCTTCTTTGTCTTCTCTGGAGGAAGAGTATTTCTTTCAGCTGGACTGGAATATCCCATCTGTTTAGTTGGCTCAGTTTTCTACAGCTCCCATGACCCTTCTTCCACCTAAACAGCTGAAACTTCAGAAACAGTAATTAGAATGAAAACTACTCCTTTTACGCTCTTGAGTGCTCATGCCAGAGCTCGTAACACTCTGAAATGGCAAGCCAGCTTTGAAGGCTGCTCACCAAAAATTCAACCCCCACATAACAGTAACTTGAAAATTACTGCTGCTCCACTTTGGGAGGTCTGACAACAAATACCCAGAAAATAAAATGTTTATTGTATGGTTCAATAGATACCAATGCCGAGGTACATCTAAATAATGCAGAACTGTGACATACAACTCTTCCTTCTGCATCTCGGAAGAGTGTGGCAGTTCAAACAAGTTTTGAAAGGTATAGCTATTACTTGCTAAAATTTGAAAAGTATATAGGTAATGAAGGGAGAATGGGAGGAAAATAAAGGGATGAAGGCATGCATTACACAGCTATACTTGAAAAGTTGTGTTGTGACAATAACAGAATTTGAAGGAAGCTCATGAACATACCTAAACAAGGAATGACATAGCCAAAGTTAGATGGGAAGAGGAAGAAAAAGCAAACAAAGCAAGCGGCAGAAACTATTCAAGGTGGCAACATAGCCAAATAAAAACACATACATTTGCTCAATACTGAAGACCTCCTGTTGTCACACTTCATAGTGACAGTCAGCAATATACAAGCCATCACGATTCCTGTCCTATATTTCTGCAGGAAAAAGAAGGATCAAGTTAAACGGCAAAAATACCTTTAAGGAGCCCTTGACTAAGTTCCTGATAACAAAAGACACAGTTGCTCTGACAGAAACCTGAAGTAAAGGAGCACATCTGTCAGGTTTGTTTCTACTCTGCACTGCTGAATTCCCCAAAGGATCATTCAGGAGGAACAGAGTTCCAGTCAATTATTTGTTATAGTTTTATGAGAAAATAACGCAGCACTTGGTATTCAAGGACATGACACTTGACATTTTTCAGAATCCTTTCTGTTATTCCATGTTCTGTTTCATTAAACTGTTCTTGCATTTTCTATTGAACTACACCAAAACACGAGTAGCACTGACAAGCTCCATCTCAGAGAGCAGCTGCATTTCACTGGCAGGTGAGACACCTGTTAGCAATTAGTTTGATTGTGGGGTGGGTTTTTGTGCACTCATTGTTTATTTTATACATATTAGTTACAGCACAAACTCTATTTAAAAACTTACCTATATACTTCATATTAAAAATTGAAGCAGTCACACAACAGAATAGTAAAGTCCATGGTGGTACCAAAAGGATCACAAAACAATGAGGGTTTCCAGGATTCTGATATGAGTGCTTGAGAAAATGTCTCTCAATCTAGATCTCAAGCTTATTCAGTCCCTAAACTCATTGAAACAATTCAAGATTCCACCTACAAGATCCATGTTATCACCTCAGCAGTCATGAAGAAAGAGCCATTAAAAGCATTCATTGGGAATTGGATAAAAAGGAAAGTTGGATCCACCACAGCAGCCTGCAGTTATCTAGAGCTGTAGCAAAGAGGACTAACACAAACAGCTAAGAATGCCAATAAGAAGCAGATTTCTTCCCAAAACAACTCAAGGTTCACCTGATTCAGACACAACAATCTCTTCTAGAAGGGCAGAATTCATAACCTGGTTTTGATACGTTTATCTTTAGCAACAGCCCTAAACAGGTTAGCTAAGGAAGCAATTTCAACAATATAATAGAGATAGAAAACTGTTAACACATAAGAATTAGCTACTCCAGAGAGATGTTTTACAGTAACATTATCCCAACACTTGTTTTCTTCTATCACTAAAATTAAATGCATGGGAGAAAGGATGCACTTTATGAGAAAGCACATTTAAAAATAAATTTCAAGCTGGTTAATTCTCCTTGATGTTCCAGTAATTCCATTAAAGACATAGGTAAGATGTTAATGTAATAACAACCATTTCCACTGTCTATTTTTTCTGCGTGTTATATGATTCATTTTCTTCAGGTTGACATTGTTTAACTTCCCGCTTGAATGCACAGAATTAAATCCAAGGAAAATAAAGAAGTTGTTTCAGAAAAAGAAAACAGTAGCATAGTTTAATTTAACTTAAATGGATCGAGTTGGGGGAAAAAAAAAAAAAAGGCATTATCCACACTACAACAGCGTAGTTTTCCTATGATTCAGACTTGGAATGAAGCAGACCTAAAACGTCAGACTGGAAAAGGGTTTGCTTAGACAGGGAGTTGAGAGTCACCCATGCAGAGAATCAGAGACAGATGCTGTGACGAGGGCTGCTCGTCAAATGGAGTTTGCAGAGAGAAGGAAGGTTTACAAAGCTCTTACAGGTACAGCTGTAAGCCTTCAGGCCTTCTGTGGAATGAATGCATAGCGTTTTCAGACAGCTGTGATGTCCTATCACTGTGAGCTGTTGCAGACTCCTGAAGGGAACATCAGAAGAATCCAGCTACTGGTAGCCTGGCTGAAGTAGTCAAAATTTATGTCTAGAAGCTGAACCTTAACAGAATATATGTTCTTACAGAATCTTCCATAAATCAGAGACTTACAGAACAGAACCCAGTGAAGGAATAGGCTTAATCCCTTGTCAAACAGGATTGTACCTTCAACGAGATATTTCAGCCCAGGTAGCCCAGATATGATTAAGTCCAGGGCTGGAAAACCTAAAGCAAACCTGAATAAGTGCTCTTTAATGTAAAGCAAATGAGTATATAAGAAACTGTACATCTCTATGAAAAAGCATGTGTAAGATCCAGAAATATGCTCTCTCTTCTGTTACTAAAAGAAAGTAAAAGAAGAAATAGGATCCCTCTGTGCTTACAGGTCTATACTGAGAAGCAGACACCAGACATAGATGTTGTTTTGGGTCTCTGAACAAAGACAATCGGGAAACTCCAAAGCCATCTTGATTTGAAAGGTTCCTGTGCTATTAATACTCAATATTAACTTGAATGTGTTTTACCAGCAGAGACCTCAATCTTTATATGGCCAAAAAGCTTTTAAACTGCTAAGACCTAATCCTAAATACAAATAAAATCCTGCAGAGCCAAGCAGAGCCAGCAAGATTACAGTGGTATTAAGGTACACTTGTGGTTTTCTTCACAAGATCAGTCTGTAGCTAACCGCTGTGATGTGTACCACAGGGAGCTTTAGTTTGCAGCCATCACTAGGATAGGATAGACAGATGCTTTTGAGCCAGTTTTACCCTTCTGTCACATTTCTTACACTGCTTTGGGACTGAATCTCATCATTTAAAGAACATGTACACTCTCCTGCAGATTAACAGCTGATTTTTACATTTGGATGGATCTTTAGTTATATCAGGCCTTGGCTAAACTCTATTAATTAACACACAAAAACAAGAGAAAAATTTATTTTTCTAGGTTAGTACTAGATTCTCCAGAAATGTGTTAACACTATTGTTTCTCTTCCAAATGGGTAGGACCTAAAAGTTAGTTGAGCATCTGTCCAAGACATCTGTTATAATGTGTTTAATTTACTAAACCAGTAAACGTTGTTGGATTTCTGGATTAGCCTTCTTGCAAATGAGGAAAAGAGCATTTATAGCACAGATATAATAAAGGCCTTAACTAAACTTAGTCAAGAAATGCAGGATTCACAAATTCATCCTCAAATACTTCATTGACTTTTGCAGTGCATCTTACCGAATGGGACTAAAACTATATAGATACACATATAGCCAAGAACCAATTATCATTTCTTTTACAGTTTGGACACACTCATCAAATTTAGATAAACACAAAGGATCTGTTTATTATATTAGCTCAAAGATAAAAGGTCTGTCAAAAGGCAGCTTCTATTTGTACTAAGAAGGAGCATGGCCTCAAAAGCAGCCTACAAAAAAAAAAAAAAATAGATCACAGAATCATCTAGCTTGGAAGAGACCTCCAAGATCACCTAGTCCAACCTAACACTAACAAGTCCTCCATTAAACCATATCACTAAGCTCTAAACATCTTTTAAAACCTCCAGGGATAGTGACTCAACCACTTAATAATACAATTACAAAATTATTTGCCTTTCCTAGATACAAATTTCCTAAGATCATTTAAATTAGAAGTGGAAGACAAGTGTACATGCCTTTCTTTTTACCAAGACAGAGACAAGAAAGGAGGTGGATAGTGGTGGTTTACAATTAAGAGTTAGGTTAAAGAGGAGCAGAAGGGCATAACTTGTCCAGTGCACTGATGGGTCTTCTCAACAATGGAATATGATACTAAAGTAATTAAATCAATTTTCTGACTGTTACAGACTAAGCCTGGCTCAGGCTTATGCTTGTACAAGGGACTGTATAGGCATTTAGGGAAATAAGAGTTCATGAATTTAATAGTTGGATATATTGTCAGATACTGCCCACTTACAAAAGTGGTGATAAAGTCTGGGTTTGCAGACACTAAAGCTATATTCATTTTTTATTCTTTATAGAGATCCTGAGATTATGCTTAAAGCTCTGTTAGATATGTGTAAGAACGTTCTACGTTTTTAAGTAAAGAGAAGTAAGCAGAAAGTTAGTAGAATTCAAGTCACTCAAACCACAATAGCACAGAGTGGAGCATCGACAGTAAAATATTATGATGGAATAATTTTTCAAATAGGTAGAGGTTTGCAAGCCAGGAATTTCATTGCAGTATATATTATACTGTGGGAAAATCAATTTCTGTAATTTAATTTCACTGGTGTATGATGCATGCCTGAAAAACTAAAGATCATCAAGGAGGAATAACATACGCATAGTTTAGGGTTGTGTCCATGTGTATAAAGAGGGTTAGGTTTAAAGACAGGAGTAGGAACAAAGAATTCTGAAAGTAGAACTCTCTTTATTCCTGGACCTTCTAACCCTCAGAAACAAAGAAGGAGAGGGAGTGATAATATAAGTTGGTAATTACTTTAAAAAACTAATAGAATAATAAATCATAATTCGAGCTTAGACTAGGAACAATGGGTTTGGGAAATTAGAACTTTATGTATTTAAGTTGATGGATGCTGCATACCTCAGAAACCTAGAATGGTAATGGAATAGTGAAAAATATTGTTTTTCAGAGTTTTCAGCTACAAACTGGTCTTCAGTGTATACTACAACCATGAAACTCTTAAGTTGTGTTGTCTGGAGAAGCTGAGTGAGAAATATGGCTTAGAAGAGACACTAACTTTTTAAAAAGTAGGAAAATATAACTTTGGTCTGTTTGTGTCTACTGTTGTTATGGTTATGCTAACATTTCTAGAAGTAGAGTCATAAAAAATACTTATTGCAGGCTGCACAGACAACTAAAATGAGGAAGGTAGTTCAAAATGTGTTTTTTGTTGTTGTTTTAATATAGACATACCTCTCTTGGTTTATGTTCTGGCAGGATGGACAAACAGGTTAGGTTTTGAAGAATGAGGACTTTCTCCAAATAGTTAGATTTATTACTGATCAGAGTGGGCTTTGAAAGATTAAATGCAGTGGGACAACAACGTAGAAGGATTCTGGGAGAGGTAAGTGTCCCATTGTCCTGGATACTGGCAAAGTTAAAATTTGGGCTAGATTTAGGAGAACTGAGGGGTCAAAGTGCATTTGTTACAGGAAAATGAACCATACAGAGTGCTGCTTTTGGCAAAGCTAGAAAGAACCAGGGCTGAAAAAATGAAAGGTAGAAAAGGCTAGCCCACTGCCAGAAGAACTGTTTTGCCATGCATGAGGGTTGCGGTTGGGAAGAGGC